AACCGTTCAACGGTTCATTTTGGGGTCCCCGATCACCAGATCTAGCTTGTTTTCTGGCTGCATTCGAAAGAAAAAAAAACAGGAGGCTGGCCGCCTTCTTGAGGCAATTGATCAACCGATGAGTGACGCTCACACAGCACACTGACGACAAATAAGCTGCCAGCCTGATAGGTTTTCTTTCTCTCGGGATGAACGTGCATCACCATAGACTGGATTTATTTCACCACATGATGGTGTACCAATCAATCAGGGTCGTGTAAGTAAGTGAGAGAGATAGGCACCACGGTACTGTGTAAGTAGGTAAGCAACGAAGTAAGTAGGTAGCTAGGTAGACTGGCGAGTCCAATTCGCGGAGATAGCACGTTCACAAGTGGTTCTCTCTCAGCTTGTCGACTAAACCGGTGTTGGATAGGATTCTTGCATTGCAGGCGGAGGAGTGGACTGGTCTAAGTGCTTACATGAATGAGTGAGTACATTTTCTCGCGGTTGCATATCATATTAAATAATCTATCGAGATGGGGTTAGCTTCGCTCGCGCCGTTGGCTCCTACGGTATGATCCGGCCACACAGCTCCTGAATGCCGAGCTGATGCCAGCCTGACCACGGCACAGACGTCGTAGCGAGTTTGCGCTCTCGATCGATGATGATGATGACCCCCCTTATCAGCCCAATGGGGAGGGCGCAGGAAAGCCTTTCGAAACGAAAGGGACGTGACACACACAGCTCCATCGACTACCTACCGGTATGTGAGTACACGCTTTCGCTCGAGTAACCATAGGTAATCATGTACCGTGACACACCCGTGCCATCGTTGGAGAGTGCTCGCCAATCAGGGCGAGGTGACGATCACCCGAGCACCTTTCACTGTTCTCAGCCCAGCTCTCGCTCGCATCGTGCGGAGGTGCCGCTCCCTTGCCTATCTACCTGCCTGAAGCATTCAGCTAAAGCTCCGCAGCCTTGACCTTCCGGCATGGGGAGTGGGCAAGCGATGCACGTGTGCACTAGAGCGAAAGAGTAGGTACTGTAAGTAAGAGCAAGAGAGCAGCAAGTCGAAGAGAGGACGGATAGATAGAACTTCTTTGTGGTTCGTTTTTGCTCCCTTTGCCCCTCCTCCATCTCAAACGGTTTTTCCCCTCTTATCCCTTATTCGGACAGTTGAAGTAAGTCTAGTTCATCTACTCCGTCGGTAGGAATGTTCTAGGTACGGCTTATGATATTTCGACCTACATTAGTACTACGACGCTGCTGATTGAACACTGGCACTGACCATTTGTACGATGATGCCACCGGGGACTCGATGTTGAGACCCCCTTCTTATTACTTACTTACTATATTATGTATACTTAATGATCTCGACGAAACACCCTAAACATCCCATCGATCCCTGGTAGATAGGGTCTGTGCCAAGAGCGCGGGATAACCTCCTGCTGCGCATATACCATTATATTATACTTATACTTGTGCTCTCATATACCATACTTTAACTGCCCAGGCAGGTATCCCTATGCGTGCGTGTACATGCTTTATATCTTTGTCCTGTGCGGTGCTTTGCATGACTGCAACGGCTCAACACGTGTTATACTTTCCTTGCTGTAAGTTCCGATGCAGCCAATGTAGGTAGGTAGGTGGACTGAGTGAGTGGGTGAGTGAGTGAGCGACTGACATACATATGTGTGGCATTTATGTATGACTAGAGGTTATCTATCCCTCCTCTTATCGAATAGTCGGTCGATCTAGCGCACATAGTCATGTATATGTCTCTGTCTAAGACGAGGATTGTCCTAACCTGGTACCTACGATGTGAGAGAGAGAGGCATAGTTTACACCGAGAACACCGAGACAATGATGGGCATTCTTTGATGAGTTCTGGCCCAATGTGACGGTGAACGGTTCCCGTTCTTGTCCCATCTCTTCCCCTTCATCTCCATCTCCATCTTGTATCGTCCGTCACGCGTTGTCTCCAGCTCTTCCCCTTCCCCCCCCCCCCCCCTTGGGGCTGATTGGCTCGTCGATCTCCAGTTCACATCCAGCCAGTCCAGTCAGTCAGTTCCCTTGAGTATGTACTCCATAGCGATCTAGTTCATGTCTCTGTATCTCCAACGCGACTGTATTAAGTGCGATGCATTATCAGCCGAGCGAACCATACGCCTTACTTTTTAGTGTAGTACTGTCACCCAGCCTTCTCTCTTCCTGTAGTTCCCTACCTATTTAATGTATTCGCAGTAATCATGGCGCCTGAGTTCCTCTAGGACCTTGTCTGTGGTCAAATTCTCAACTTCGGGTATTCGCTTCTTCCCCACTCGCGATGCGATATTGCGCGAAGGATGAATGAATATGTAAGCACAGAAGTATATGGTATATCGCGTGGGGGATTGTCTGGGCAGACTACATAGATGATATGTACTATGTAGGTACGTGTTATGTATACTAGATGCGTCGTACATGTGACACCATCTATCAACCCAATAGCTCACGGCCGTGCATATATCTTACATTATCCCTATGTACATGATAGCTATACAGAGAGAGGTGAGAGGATCTCTGTAGATGCCTACATACCTAGAAAGTATATTGCATTACATTACATGCATTAAGTAGCCAAGTCTGCGCGCTGTCCTTGCGACTGACGGATTGCCTACCTGTCAAAAGTTTAAGTACCGGTATAACCTTAAAACAATACCTGCCTACATGCTTCCTAACCATATATCCGGAGGTATGCTGTGCAGCATTGCAGCATAGCAGCATGCATCTTCAGACCTAGAACGTACTTATAACAGCAGATCAAACACCAATCTACGAAACAGTGACGATCTACCTACGGTACCTAGATAGTTCTTATCCCGTCTAGGAGCTTGCTTCTCGGCTCTGTTCTTACTTAGTGATTAGTTAGACGGGACCCTTGTTTCTGATTTTTTCCCTCACTCTCTCACAATGGTTCCACTGACCTGCAGGAAACAACATGGGACAAGATATAACGAATTGCACCAGGGATCTATCTGTCACCGACCCACTCAAGCTTTACCTACATACTGTAGATGTACTCACAGCACCAGAGCAGGCAGGTATTCCGGTAAGGAGATACTACCTAAGTACTTACATAGTATGTACGCGGTATATATATATATGTAAGTAAGTATAAGTCCGATTAACAATTCCACTGCCCGCTGACTCGATGACTGACTGACTGACTGACTGCAGTTCTTCGGCACGGTCAATTGACACGTTTCTGCACGTTTTTTTCAAAAGACACCTATCTCGCCTAGGATTAGCTCACGCTAGGCACGTTACATGCACTATTTCCCTGGCCCCAGTAGCTAGCTAGGTACCTAGGTAGGTAGGTAGGTACACTTGTAGCCCTAAAAAGATGCTACAGTTACCCACAAACACACGGTCCCTCTCTCTAACTCGGTAGGGCAGTGAAGTCAGTGTGCTGGACCCAGACCACGGGAGGTCGTCGTCACACCAGTGTGATATAGGCCATTAGTCATGATCACCATTGAGAAACATACCTATCCTGCACTAGGAACGATTAAGCAGACGTCTAGCCCTGGCCGCCCCAGCTGCTTGCCCTGCCATGCCCTGCCCTGCCCTGACTATCTCTGGCTGATTGACTGACTGACTGTCTGTCTACTGGTATGTCTCTGGTACAGTACCTTACAGTACGTAGTGGGTAGCCAAGTATATTCCTAGGTACGTAAGTAGGTACCGTGTAGTGGTAAGTAAAGGAAAGACAGCCTGCTGATGCCTGCCTAGGACGGCTAGACCAGCTACATACATACACTACATACTGTATGTATGTATCTATAGGGAGGTATCTACTTATCTGGATCGGATGTGCTCTGGGATGTGCTCTTCTCCCCGAAACACGCCCTCAAGGTACTTCTCTCAGCATAGGTAGAGTATCCTCACGCAAGAACTGGTGTTTTTGTGATACCTTAGGTATGTATCTACTACCTACTTTATGTATTACCGCACTGAACAGACTTACTTGAAATGGAACTGACTGCTATGCTATAGATCCTCGATCGCCCAATCGCTTGCATGCAGTACAAGGAAATGCGTACTAGGTCAAGTAAGCACACATGTACAGAGCCTACCTATGTACATATATGTTAGGTAGATAGATACACACGTCTGTAAGTACCTACAGTCAGTACCCAGCATCTTCTACCGGTATCTATGTATGTAGCTACACAGCATCCCTACTCACATAGTACCTACTATTACACGTACTTACTTATCCTTACCTGGTAATATACTATCTACATCTACTACACTACCGGTACCTATGTAGGTAGGTATATTCGTTGCCAGCCAGGGTTCTTGTTTAATCTATCTATCGTCGTCGACCGGCTACGACCCACCGTTGTTGACCTAACCCCCCCCGGCCCAAGGCCCTCTCCGCGAGCCAGCCTTTGCCCTGATCCAGTCCTGACGGCCGAAATAGCGTACCTACATGAGGTATTGTCGACCTACCTAGGGTAGCTCCTGTAGGTAGCTGCTAGTAGCTACGACCAAGCCAATTTGTTGTCTGAGCCCATCATCATCGCTGTCATCATCATCTTAAGCATCATCACGATCCCCTCTACACCTGACCCGACTTTCCCCTTTCTCTTCCTCCCTCGGCGTCTCCTACTGCTGCTGCTGCTGCTGCTTACCTACCAAGTATAAGCTATACACACCCACTTGATAGACTAGGCGCCTACTAAATACCTGGTCGAGTGGTGTGTGCGTGTGTGCGCGCGCGCGTGTGTGTGTATGTGTGTGTGTGTGTGTGTGTGCCTGGCGCCGATACCCTCGTGCGGCCCTGATTACCTGATAACCTGATACCGAGACACTTGCGCCAGCATACAAAACTGGCCCGGCCTAGGAAGCCTAGGGAATAAGAGGTCGCTACCCCATTATTTCTCCATCCAGATTCAGCCCGGGGTCTTCCACGACCGGGATGGGCCCAGCTGGTCTAAGTTCATAATCCGCATCCCTCTCTTCCTACTGTACGTCAAAAAAAAACCTAGATCAGCCGAAGTTCCCCAATTCGTTGCTGTCCTGTCATTGGCCCATGTCAGCATCATGAGTACTTGATCAAAAGGTCAACCCAATTTAAACATTTTTCTTCGCATCGTCTGGTGTTTCTAGACACTCGCCCTAATTCCCGAGATCGTGGTTTTGGTTGTCCTCGCGCCCCCCCTCGGCAAAACCGCATTTGATGTCTTTAGTTATAGAACATTCAGACGCGAGAGTGAGAGTGAGCCCGGCGAGGTGGAGAGCCCCCAAACACGCATCCAGTCCGCTCACGGGGCGCAATCACCTGGAGTACCGGCCTAATCATTTTTCACCTCACATACGGGTTGGCGAGAGGCTTCCAACTCCCATTGTACCGGCTTTCTAGACCTGTCAGGGCGAGGATTGGGGAGGGAGGTGGTCGAAATACTGAACAGGCGAAAAAAGGACCAGAGAGTGAACAAGAGGAAACCCGCGAAAAGCTCTTATATGAAATTATAAGATCCGAGGAGGATGGCCACCGACCCTTTTGAGTCGCGACAGGATCGTCGCGGCTCCATATTGGATACCCGGGAGACTTCGGTGGCGGCACCGGGTTTTGACCCTTCACTGGACCCTACGATCCGAAGACTTTTTGACCAGCAAGCTGAAATTCAGGCGAAACTGGCTGCGCTGCTTCCGGCTAGACAACTTACCAACAGCCGGCTTGAACTGGCTATGTTACAGCATAAGCTACGTGCTCTCGAGACGTATGTGCGTAGTCAAAGTATGTACTTGTTTTCCCTACTTCCCCCCTCTTAGTTACACTTATATATGTATCATTGTATTATTCATCTATGGACTAAAAAATACTGATGCAAATTCTGCCAAGACTTGTCTGGTAATGTTCCTATTCTATGTGAGATTGAGGAAGCTAGGTCACTACAGTACCGATGCGAATGCATTGAGAGCTACCTGATTGACGAAGGTACGTGATTGTGCGGCAAAGCTTGCATCGTCAATCGCATTCTCTGATATTTCCACATTAGGTCTTGATCTTTATGATGCAAGGTTCCTTGATGCCTTGGGGCTCACTGCTCACGGCGAGGCGCCTCTGGGGTATACTTCATGGTTGGATCAAAACATATCGCATTATGACCCTGTCTTTCGAGGATGGAGAACAAGAGGTTCTGTGCCGTTAATATCGAGGCGTCAGGTCTCGTTCAAATGCTATCATGACGAGTGCATTCATCAAATCTACGGATTCTCAACAGCCGAGGATCGAGATGAGCATGTGAAGCGGCATGCGCACCCTGCAAAAAGAGATTCGGGGCCATCAATCAGCACCGTATTGCCGCTATCGTTCTCAGATTCATCACAGCCCAGAGTCTTTGGTGCAGATCATCTCAAACAGGGCTCTCCTGCTCCTTTACCCCGTTTGTCAGTGCCGTCTGCGTTACCGGGCTTAGCCACAATTGGCCAATCAAGAGATCGGCGAGGTTCAGTCCCGGGCTACCCTCCGACAAACGAATTCCCTTCTCAACATCGTAGCTCACTGCAAGTTGAACCAGAGGTTGATCCTATGCTCCCACCGCTTAAGCGAAGTAGAGTCGGTCATTCTAGGTTGGAGTCGATTGGAGAACTAAGACTTCCCCGCGACACCGGGCCTTGTCTTCGCTGCAAGGTCCAGGCTAAGCCAGTAAGTTCATTCTCGCTATCAGGGGCATTTGGCCGTGCTGATCAATTACAGTGTGACTCGAGAGACGACTGCGCGTTCTGTTCTGAGGAGCCAACTTCTGTTGGCGATGAGCTCTGGGCAGTTCTTGGATGTCACCGTGGACCTCTGGCCAACTTGGCCGATTATATGCTGCCGGGTAGGTTCTTGGCTTCATGGTAATGCTACACTATGGTACAGTCTAACTGTGAAATAGAAGCTCTTTCCCCGAGGCAGACACACACACCAGTCACATCGCCCATGGCAAGGCGTCGAAACATGAACGACTACCTCGAAAGGACGTACATTGTTAATCAAAATATGGTAGAATTAGTCAAAAGCCATCTTGATTTTAATGATGGATTCTGGTGGACTGAGGACCTGGCAACTCTACCCATGCCCAACCCTACTTTGGCGACCTATTCAAAAGAACCCAAAGATTATCCACCACCTGTGCTGAAAGTGCTTGCCGCAAGCTGGAACACAGAAGGCGTCCCCTTTCAGTTTTGGGAGCTTTTCAGGCTGACAGGCTTTATGTCGGATAGTAGGGAGTCCGAAGCTGTACACTACCCAGTCCTATACCGGGCTAAACTTCTCTTACGAGAGATACTTTTTTACGACTTACAGCAGCCGGAGCCATCGATACGAACGGAAGTTAATGTTTCTAACGCCCAACTTCTCCCTGACGATATGGATTACGATAGTCGTAACCGACTGATTTATAATTGCATGGCTCAATTCTTACAGTCTTTCGAAGGTGTGACCATGCGAAGGGTCGTATCTGAACCTAAAAGCTGGCTTGCTATTTTCATTTCGCTTTGCATATTTAGCATTGTGAGGACGATCCTAGCCGATCTCATCTCGACCCCATCGCGAAATATTTCAGCTCAGGCTCAAAACGGATTGCCCATCTCTGGGGGAGCTACGGCAATGCACAGCGTGTATAAGGCACTGGTTCACGTGTTTGCATGGTCCACCCCGATGATACTGGACAGCCCGGTTTTAGAAATGGATTCAAACGATCGAGCTCTATTTGTCACAACGCTAGCGGCCATTCGAAAAGAAGATTGGATCCCCTGGGGCATTCGCTCGACTAAAGACTTCTTGCTAGGACTAGGAAGCGGATATTTGGTTGACAACGTCGGGTTCAACGGGTTCTTCCGCCAGCGGACGCCCATTTACCGACATGTTTCGTACACCCAGCCGGCAGTCGTTGGTGAGGCTGGGGAACCCCGCAGGTCCATCTCCGAATGGCGACCAATAGACCCTTGGGCGAATAGAGGTGACCAGGATATGCTACCCTCTGCCTTCGGAATGCAGCAGGAAAGGAGGCACACCGTGGCGGAAAGCCCCGCCTTTACGCGTGCAATCGCACGGGGCCTCAGCTCGCCCACAAAGCTAAGGACCTCGTACCAACGCCCACCTCTTCGTAGAGTGTTCTGCTCAAAATGCAACGAATACCCCGAAGGCTTCCGCGGTGAACACGAACTTCGGAGGCATACCGATGCCAAGCATGCCGCTTTAGTAAAGCGATGGGTTTGCACTGAGCCACCTAACCCAAGCCCAAACGCACCGCAGCCACTGATTCCTCTATCTAAATGCAAAGCATGTGTCACACAAAAGAAATACGGTGCTTATTACAATGCTGCAGCTCACCTGCGACGCGCGCATTTCCACCCCCACAGGAGCGGCAAGGCGAGTGGCGATTGGCCCCCGATGTCCATTCTCAAAGACTGGATGCGGGAAGTTCGGCAATCGATCGACATCAACGAGAACGACAGTTCGAGTGGGGAAGACGAAAACGAAGTCCGAATGATAGAGGAGTACACGCTGCCTCGACAGCCATCATTCCTAGAAGCCCCGAGGCTTGCTCCTGCGCCCCCTCAGGGACCCATACTAGCACCATCTATGCCACCCTCGTTAGAAAGCACCGTTCATAGCAGCCCCAGTATATCGAAGGCCGAGGATAATCGAAATCGCTGCCCACACCCGGACTGTGGTCGAGTCTTCAAGGATCTAACAGCGCATATGCTAACACATCAAGAAGAGCGACCAGAAAAGTGTCCGATCGAGACGTGCGAGTACCATACTAAAGGATTTGCCCGTAAGTATGACAAGAACAGGCATGCTCTTACCCATTATAAAGGGACAATGGTCTGTCCATTCTGTCCAGGTCCAGGAACAGCGTACGAGAAGGCATTCAATCGCGCCGACGTCTTCAAGCGGCATCTAACTGCAGTACATAATGTTGAGCAGACACCGCCTAACAGCCGGAAGATGATTATCAGTGGGGGTAGCTCTCGCAACGGCGGAGATGCTAAGTGCTCGATCTGCCAAACACGATTCTCGACAGCCCAGGAATTCTATGAGCATTTGGATGACTGCGTTCTCAATGTCATTGTTCCGACGACACCCAAGGCCTCGAGGGACCAGACATCCACGCCGCAGAAGGGTGACCAGAAAAACACTCAGGCCAATATGAGCGAAGGTGATGAAAAGCCCGACCTGCTTAGTGGTCGCGAGATGAGGAGAAGCACCGAGGCGAGCTCAACGGCTGGGTCGGCCGAGCATCCGAGGGAAACCACAGAGAAAATGGACTTGGACTCGGACAGGGGCGACTGAAACAACTACTTCTGCGCAAATGGATTTAAAACGTGATTTCAAAGCGAACTCGATTATTGCATGTTCTATGCCAACACATGCTTACCTAGGCACATACAAACCTGGCGCTTCTTCATTGCTTGCTTGCTTGTTCGGTAGACGGCGAGGTGCTCGGTGTAGCACAAGAGCGAGAGGGACAAAAAGAAAAGAAGGCGTTTGTGCGTTTTATGCGTTGAGAAAAGATGCATGTTTATTTGAAACAAGGGGGGTTAAATGAGTGTCTGGTTGGAAGTTGGGACGCGATGCGACGAGATGAGATGAGATGAGACGAGACGAATTAAACGAGCGAGCGAGCGAATAAGCAGGCTATCCTAACCACCACATCTACCTACCCCTATCTACCTGCGTATAACGCTGGGAACAACTCGACCTTAGCTATTACTTACTTTACTCATCATATCACCACGATGTATTTGCACGACACAATGCAACGCAACGCAAACTTACTATACCACATCACACCACAAACAACACACCACACTGCATGGTTCTCAGCATCAATCATCCATCTCTCATCAACTAGCCGCAGCTCTACTTACTATTACTAGCCTTATGTTAGTTAGTATCACGTTACATATACCCTATATACTTTTATTTATCTATCTATCGATTTATTTACCTATTTACCTACCTACCTACCTACCTATCTCTTTATTTATCTCTTCATCTACTTATTTCCATATTCGTTAGTGATTAAGTACCCTATTCATTCACATGCTCGATCCGTAACTCACCTAGTAACCATACCATCGGACTATAGAACGAGCAAGTATCAGTATAGAATGAGTATATAGTGCGAATGTGTATATTCCATGCGCACGGATTTAATTTAATTTAATTAGTAGATGGGTGGGTGTAGTTGGGAAATTCATTAATTAATTACACTACATTACCTTACCTTATCTACCCCGATGCTCTTTAACACAATACACAAGAAACAAGACAAAGTCTCGCAAGACGAGATTATCAAGCAAGGCGCGAGAAGAGGAATCAAATCCGGGAACCAACCAGACAGACAGACAGAGAGGCGTGAGAATTGTGTTCTGTCTATTGGCATGCTACGCTATGCTGTACTGTGCTGCTATACTGCGCTATGCGATCCATCAACCGCCCACCAACCCATCCGCTCAAGAGGGAATCTTCTTTATTTCTTTCTTTTCCTTCTCTTCTCTTCTACCCATTCAGACAGAATAGAATTCATTGGTTTATTTCATCGCTCATTTCCCAGACAGAAAGTCTTCATCCATCCATCCATCCATCCATCCCATATAATTTCTCCGTGTCACGGCTCGGTTTATTTCAGTTTGTTTAAAATTCAAACTCCTGAAAAACATAAAACAACGACATATAAAAAAGTTATTTGTAGGGGTAGTCGGTAGTGGCCACTTGCTTCCCTCGTCCAAAAAGACAACACAAGAGGCCTGAAGCGGTCATGCGTGAATGATTTATCCTCGTTTGGGATCCCCCAAGGTAAATGCCGTCCATGGAAGAAACCTCCGCTCTGTAAATCCCAGGATGGAGCGCCAGAAAAAGAAAAAAAAAGTTCATGAGGGTATAATATTCCTGTGACAACTCATAATTTCCCATGGCAAGTAATTCCTTGAGGTGTTCAAGCAAGACTTCACGACAGCAACTACGCATCGGTTTACCTCTGGAAGGGCAACCAGCTACCTCTCTTGCCACCCGCATTGCCTTCGTTCTGCAGGTTGGCGATGGTGGGGACTTGCGCAGGCGCATCGCCGCCGCCTCCTCGGAGTGGTTTTGCGATGCGGCTACCGGCATTAGCAAAGCTGAACCCGCCAGCGCCAGATGCTGCGTTCAGACCACGAGTTGAGCCCGCTTTCGCTGCTTCCAACCGCTCCTTAACAGCCGAGAGCTGAGACTCAAACCTGCGACCCTCGTTAGTACGTTTCAGGTTTTCAGAATTGGGAGGAGAGCGAACCTGTGATTTGATGCAATTAGCTTGTCTTGGCTCTCCTGCAGCAAGTTCTCCAAGCTTGAAATACGCTCATTCCTGGCAATGAGCTTCCTCTCAGCGATTGCCACTTCTTTCTTGAGACTGCTATTTTGCTCGACCAGCTGGCGCTGGACTTGTGTCAGCTGCTCAAGATTACGCTCGAGGAACGCCATCTTCTTTTGCTGCGCGCGATTATTAGATGACCGAAGAACGTTGTTGTACTGCTCTCGGGTTTCGTCAAGCGAAATCTCGAGCTCGACAACGCGTTCACATCGATTTTGTAGATCTCGCATCAGACTCTTCTTCATCACGTCAAATTCGGCAATTTGCTGCTGAATAGTCTTGCCATTAGCAAGGCCAGGGGCCGCTACAGCCCCTGATTTGATGCGAGACTGCAACTCGTCTATTAGCGTCTTCATCCGAGCATTTTCAGATGATTTTTGGGCAATGTCAGCTTTGAGTTCATCAACCAGCTCCATCTGTGTGGTTTGTTTATTGGCATAGGCCTTTTGTAATCGGTCTTTGACTTCTTCAATGTCCGTGTCTCCGAGATTGCGAGTGAGGAGATCCTCATACTCCTGTTGTAAGGCTTCCAGACGGCTTTCTAGTTCTATTCGCCGACGTGTCTCTGCATCGCCGGAAACACCACTGTAAAGTGAAAGCTCTGCTTGTCGGACGATGCCCTGCGTCTCCACTAGCTTTGCTTTGACCTCTTGCAGGTCTTCCGAAGGAATAGGGTTCCCTTCATAGCTCTGCTGGTATAAAGCTTCAATTTGTTCTATAGCGCTTGCGATAGACTGTTCATTAGCACTGAATACGTCACTTCCCAGATCGAAACCGGCCATCATTTTAGCCATTTTCTCCGCCTTCTTCCTCTCCTTTTCGTCCAAAACGGCGCTTGTTTCCTTCGCGTTCATTTTCACATCTAAGAGCTGTTGCTTGACTTCATCAAGCTCCGACGTGAGTTCAGAATTTGCCTCTTTTAGCGCGTCCATGGTAATCTGGGCTTCTTTGCTCTCGAACGTTAAACGCTCAAGCTGCATTTTGGCATCATTGACTTCCGTCGTCAACCTTTCATTATCCTTGCCAACTTTGCTGTCATGCTCTTTGAGGAATGCTAGTTCGTCTTTGGACTCCAGGAGAGTCTTCTCAGCAGCTGCTACGGCAGACTCCTTCTCTGCCAGCTGATCCTGAAGTTCATTCTCTCTTCGCAAAAACTCTTCTCTCTCGTCCTTATCAAGAGGGAGACTGGGGGTTCCGGCGCGATCTGTGAGTGCAGGCGTTTCTGATCGACTTTCAGTAACAAGCCGCGATGGTGTCGACGGCCGCTTATCGGGCTTTGTGGCTGGAGCACCGTCTGACAATGGAGGCACCCAGCGGTCTTTCGGAACCGACTCGCCGGCGCGCCAAAGCTGCACTTCACCTTCCAATGATGCGATATAATTTTCGAAGTTTGTAATGTTGTTCTTGGCCTTTGCCAACATGGCCTTGAGCTCTGCTGGGCTGAGTTCAGCATTAACCTTCGCTTTGTTCTTGATGGACTTGGCCCTCATGCCAAATCGTAGAGTGCTGAGTGTTTCCGCATCGTTATAGCTACTTGGTGAGCAATTAATAATCAAGGTAGTCCTGCTGTTACCTCCGAGGGATTCTTGCAAGATTCTGGTCAATTTGGAGTCACGGTAAGGAATGTGCGAAGATTTCCCATCGGTGAGAGCATTGATGACCATGCCTAGCGCACTTAAGCTCTTGTTGATCTTCTTTGCCTCTTCGAGCGTTTGACCACTTGCGCCAGTCTTGCCAACCTTTTCACTACCGGCAAGATCGACTAGGAACAGCTGTCCGGCTTTCATAGACCCCGTTTCGAGGTTCTTCTGGGTGACGGTGATGACGAAGATGGAATGTGAGCGGGAAGATTCCTGGTTCATGTTGGTGGCAGCAACGGCTCGGGCGTTACCACCCCTTTTCATAACCTCGAAAACCTCTTCTACGCTCGAGACATATATCTCTAGAAGACCCTTGACATACACGCCCCTATTCTTCTCCTCGTGGACAGGCAGGTTGTCGTTTTGTGGTGCCAGCAGATCACGAATACGCTCCATGTAGATCTCCATATAGCTAACTCGGACGGTATACTCAATAGTTGGGGGGCTTGACAGAATACTAGTGAATATCTGCTCGACAATACGGGGGGTGATACCCTTGCCAACATCATCTTCTATATTCGTTCCCATCATCGTGTAAGACTTTCCGGCACCAGTCTGGCCGTACGCGAAAACGGTTCCATTGTAGCCGTTGAGAATGTCGTCGACAGTGGGCTTGATGGAGTAATCGAAGATCTCATGCTGCTTCACTTTCATATTAAACACCCGGTCGAAGGTGAAAGAACCAGCGGCCTCAGCCGACTACAGCGAGAGTCAGTGATGCAGTTATTCCATCGGCCCATGGGCAGGTATTGGGAGCTATAGGGGAACGAGGGAGGAGCGGTGCGCACATTAATAGCACAGGTGTCATCGCCATCGAAGCTAACTATAGGCTCACCGCCTTGTTCAATCTCGGTCTTGTTCTGCGGGCGGAAGCGGGCCACGACCTTGATACTGTTGGCGCTCGACATGGCGAAGTGGGAGGCAACGTAGCGACGAGGCGGGTATGCGCAGCAAGTGGTGGGATGCCGAGGGTGGGAGGAACAGGGAAGAAACGGAAACGAAACGAGCAGTTTTATGTCATATTATGATAGCCGAATAGAGCTATGTGGGATCTACTCTGACACAGCTCGACCGCCTAGACGGCCGACGGCGAACGGGCCAAAGCGATGTATGTTGTCGGTCGGGAGCAAGAAGAGAAAGAAAGACGACCGGCAGCAGAGATGGGTGCAGAGAAGAGCAGTCCGGCCCAAATATCCAGCGTCGCGTTGGATGTACAAGTTTGGAGGCAGCGTGTACGTTGCACCTGGGGGGGACAGTCGATAAGCTGAGATACCGGCGAGGAGGAGTAGTAAGGGACAGGGTTGAGACGGGGCGGGTGCCTGAATAACCCTGAATAGCGCCCCGTCTGTGCCCCTATGGCCACCTGGAAGACTGGCATGTCTAGGCGGGTTTGAGGCGCTGTCTGCGCTGTGCCTGACCGCACTGCAGCCCACTACCGCCCACTATTCCAAACCAGAATCAAGGGGTTTTTCGGCTCCCCTCATCTACCCCACCTGCTAGTTCTGTTATGCTATTTAGGTACCTAGAGCGCTAGAGCAAAATCATCGTCGAGGAATCGGACCAATGTACCCAAGCCCACATGCCGCAAGACAGACAGACAAATCTACTCGGTAATCACCCAGCATGCCTTAAAAAGCCATGGTCTATATTATTTTCTATTTTGTTAAGTCATGCTGTCGAAAAGATAAACAAATAAGTCTGTTGAGAATGATGATAATCAGGCACCTGACGACTGAGTGAAATCCCAGGCATCTACTTAATGTACTGTGTAGGCTGCCAACTTCCATGTTGATTTATGCGAAACTAGCCAGGTACAGGGTTCAGCAGCTTGGTGCACTATGCATTTAGATTACGGAATTATGCATGCCCATCCCTCAACTTTACAATACACCATGATGGACTATACATATATAATAGGTAGATAAGAGCTGAGTATTGCCAGGCTTATGCTCACGCTAAAAGGACAGCAAGGTTGGCGTCACAATGAACCGGCATACCAGTCCTCTGTGAAACGCTGCAGCAGCGGCTTGATTAAATATGAGTAGATATGTTTGGCATGAGAAACGTTCAAAGGGAAATCGAGGAGTCGAGTAGTATTGGGGGTAAAGTCCATAAGAGATGATTTGCGATAACGCCGCCCTCATGCGAAACGAACCTAAAGAAACAGATGATAAAATAGACAGTCCCAAGGGAACAAGTCTGTTACGCACGCATACTATATACCCATTACGAACGCCACACGGGTACCTACCCGGATGACGTCTCGCGGATTTGTAGATGTGATCCTACCGTGACGCCTTATGTTTCGCTACCTTCAAGTATGCTCCCTTCCAGCCTGCCAAAACGCCAACTCCGGTAGTGGAACTCCCGCTGCGAGGCAGTGACTCGCCCAGCGAGGGCTTGATTTATGGGATCAATCTTCCCAGCTTTTCTCGACCGTCTCACGCACCCGCTTGGTGTACTCTTTTCGGTTATCCTTGTAGAGATTTGACGCTTCAACATTGGCAGGAGATCCCGTGTTCGGGTCGTTAAGTAGACTAGAAGACGCCACAGTTAGCATCGCCCTTTCATACGATGTCGGGGACCGCACCTACCTTTGTATACTTGTTAAAACAGCAGCCACATCGTACGTGGGGCTCCACCGGTTTTGTAGAATATCCAGGCAAAGCTCGCCGGTAGCATATACATTGGGGTGGAACATTTGGCTGATGAACTTCACGGCAGGTGGCTTGTTCGGATACTGCTCTTCGAAGTGCATTACCAAACGAAATGTCCCGTCCTCAAATGGAGTGTCGGCGGGCCCGATGATCACAGCATTCCTGGATGCGAAGGTCAGTCTGGCGCAACTACGGATATCGAGCGGGTTGCGGCCTTGGTCTTACCAGGTCATGACGTTGTCAGGTACGGGCGATGCAGATACCCCAGCTGGGGGGTCTGTCTGCATTCGCTGCGAAAGAAGACTGATTAGTCAAAAACGCGGATGGTTCTCAGCAGCCGGCATACCTTGAAGTCTCGCATCAAACGACGGCGGGCAGCGGTGGACATGATGACTAATGGTTTGGTTGCTAATGCTGATATGTTCCGGTAGTTTGAAACAAGACGGAGGGACCTCGAATGCCCAAGGGGCGTGTACACGGCAAAATATTGAAAGGGTCGGCGATCTTCTGAGCGTGCTGAAAGATGGTTGGTATGTGTGAAATGAGGTGGGATGTGATGTAGGGAATCAGGCGGGATAAGATGATGAGGTAAACATGGTAATTCTTATACCTATTTAAGGATATCATCTAAAAGGCTAAACGCTCTGGAGGCAGATGCATGGAACTGGTAAATTCACTTATCGATGTATGGTGGGGGCCAGCCAGGCTCGCCAGGTACTTACTTAAGTACCTAATACCTAGTAAAGCTTGGCATACCTTGGGAAGGTCAGGTAGGGGCGACAGACCAACAGACGTGGGGAACCTGGAGTCAAGTACCTAGGTAGCTTGTCCCGCCAAAAGCCGAGGCATAGCGTCGGCAAGCGCAGCGACTCAACCTGGGCATCTCGCCCACGTTGCTGAATCAAACATTCTTAGAACATAATCATGTGAGATGTCACCTAAAGAAAGTCTTTCGGCGTCTCTTTCGTAAATATTAGCACAGGGCGCTTTCCAATTTACCGCTGACAGTTCTCGTTACTCTCTCGATCAATATTACATACTTCCAACATGGTGTTACAAACAAGTAGACAACTTGCCCGAGGCATTTCGCACGTCAGGGTGCCTCTCAATACATCAAGTCGCCACTTCTCGGTGCAGAGTGCCCTGAGACGGGAAATTCAAGATGCTTATATCTTGAGTGCGTCCAGGACGCCGACAGCTAAAGTACGCTCGCTGGACTATGCCGCTGCTTAACTATATGCACAATGGCTCAGCTAACAAACCGCCATTCTTAGTTCAACGGCTCATTTCTTACTGTATCTGCGCCGAAGCTTGCCGCTGTCGCCATAAAATCTGCTCTCGACAAGTCCAAAGTGCCCGTTGAAAAGATAACCGATGTCTATATGGGCAATGTCTTGCAAGCTTCCGTCGGCCAGGCTCCTGCTAGACAAGCATCGATATTTGCCGGATTACCCAAGAGTGTCGAGGCTATCACAATAAATAAGGTCTGCGCATCTGGCCTGAAGGCCGTTGTGTTCGCAGCCCAAAATATTCAGCTTGGTTTGAGCGAAGCCCAGGTGGCCGGCGGTATGGAGAATATGTCACAAGTTCCGTACTATATGCCTAGGGCAAGTGGTTTGCCCGGCTTTGGCCACATCAAGGTGGAGGATGGACTGTTAAAAGATGGTCTAACTGACGTGTACGATCAATTCCACATGGGAATATGCGCCGAAACGACTGCTAAGAAATACGAAATCACCCGTGAACAGCAAGACGAATACGCCATTCAGTCCTACAAGCGTGCGCAAGCTGCTTGGAAGGACAAAGCATTTGCGGACGAGATTGCGCCCGTTACCGTTAAAGGCAAGAAGGGGGACACCATTATCGACACTGACGAGGGATATCTAGATATTAAGCCAGAGCGAGTGCCAACTCTCAAGCCAGCATTCCTTCGCGATGGCTCCGGTACTGTCACAGCGGCCAATGCATCTACCCTCAATGATGGAGCTAGCGCTTTGGTGCTTGGTAACAAGGCAATTGCTCAAGAATTCGGGGCGGGTTCGAGGGTATTAGCACGAATTTGCAGCTCCGCAGATGCAGCTGTAGATCCCGTCGACTTTCCCATTGCCCCGGCCAAAGCCGTTCCCATTGCGCTTGAGCGTGCGGGAATAACGAAGGACCAGGTGGCTGTATGGGAATTCAACGAAGCGTTTGCAGCTGTCATCAAGGCTAACGAAAAGGTATTTATTCACCCATCCATAATGCCGCGCATAAAACACGATAACTAACAGAGCGTGACAGATCTTGGGCCTGGAAAACGCGCGGGTTAATCCCCTAGGTGGCGCCATATCCCTAGGTCATGCTTTGGGCAGCTCAGGGTCTCGGATTTTAACTACGCTTCTTCATCAACTCAAGCCTGGCGAGTACGGAGTTGCCGCCATCTGCAACGGTGGCGGAGCTGCAACAGCTGTGGTTGTTCAACGGATCGAAAAGGTATGAAAATGATATCTCAATCTTGTGTACAGCTTATGACAAAAAGCGGCACTAGCCTTGCAATATGAATGATGATTTCAAATGACATGATAAGCCGGCTCTCTTATTGCAATCATACCTCAAAGCTCAACCCCCCTAAGGATGGGTTGACATGCTTAATCAAGCTACAAAAGATACTCGTAGAGATGATGTTGTAATGTAGAATGGTATCGCGAAGCCGCACTCACTCACTGAACTGGCATGTGATAATGGCATTCACCAGAACGACGTCATTCTGCTAAATTGCATAGGCGATGCGGCTGCTTACTTCTATATGCATAAAGAAAGAACACTCAATGAAACGGCCCACCTGCAGTGTGACCCACAACCTTGAGGTACGTACCCAAGTACCTACATATGTAGCTTAGCATCGACATACACATTTACTACCGCGTCGTCTTATGAGTTTCTGAGATTCCTATCTCGAGAACACGCAGGTGCTAGGAGACTAGGGTGGTCTGGTGATGATTCCAGTGACCAATCTCATCATCAATAGCTCTTAGGTCGGCTTCGTTCATGCAAAATAATGTGAATGACCCCCAAGAAAAAGAAGCTGTAGCAGTCTTGTATCTGCAAATCCGTCCGCCATGGCTTTAGCCATTGAGTTCTTGACTAGCATTCGAGGCTTTTTGAAGACACGCAACGGCATTGGACTTCGTGACTGGCTTCGGGTCGAGCCGCCTCTACCCCAACAGTACCATGCTCTGGCCACTGAACTCAAGACCGGCTATCGTGATGCTAATGCCATTGCAAAGCTCGTCGAGAGGTGTCTGCCCGAGGAGGATGACCTACCAGAAGATCAAGGCACTGCGTGGCCAGGGTTCATCGCGTTTGTCAAGGAATACTTTGAGTACTGGCGAGATGTAGACTTCGATGACCTTCTCGGCGCACACCAGCTTCTCATGGGCCTGACCAAGTAGGTACTTATTGACAATTGCCCTCCTTCATACTAGAGCGTTCCGAACCGCTGACCCAGATGCCAGTTCATGTACGACAGTACTAAATCATCCGACGTACGGGCTTATAATGCTTGAAACGAGCGTGTCTTTATGCGTCTCTCTGTCCAAGCTATCGATGACCCTGAATAAACGTCCGGATCTGACTAAGAAGCTTAAAGCCGTGGATACGGGCGACGATGACCAAACTTCAATCGTTGGCACTACGGCAGAAGTAATCCAGAAGTTCTTCACTACATGTCTTACAGATCGAACAAGCCAGCGATATGGTCGGCCAGACGGTAAGAAAGTCGGGGTCTATATATTCGCAAACCTCACTCTGAAGCTATTGTTCGCTGTACGTAGCCTCCTATCAAAGATCAAGTGTCGAACTCCGTGCTAATTCGACGTAGTGTCGCAAGACGCAATTGGGAAAACAGCTTTTTACCAATGTTAGCGCCAAAGCCCCTCCGTTGTCATTCTACCCAGCAGCGCAGAGGGTTACGTATCTATATTACCTAGGACGGTTCCATTTTATCAACAACCACTTCACGCGAGCTTCTCGCTGCCTTGAGCAGGCCTATGTTCAGACGCCACCTAGCTTTCAAAAGCACCGACGCCTTATTCTTACGTACCTAGTTCCTTCTAACATGATGCTGGGACGTCTCCCTTCTCCAACGCTGTTACAGAGACCAGAGATGCAATCGATAGTGCCCATCTTCTCGCCGTTTACCCAGGCCGTTCGCACGGGAAACTATCTTCTTTTCCAGCAGGCCCTCGACATGAACGAGAGTTGGCTATTTCGCAAAGGGTTACTACTTACCCTTACTTATCGCCTGCGCCCATTGCTCTGGCGTTCCCTCTCTAGGCGGACCTTTCTACTCACATATGTCGCACCCACAGACGCCGAAGATTCGCGCAAAGCCGCGACGCTGGAGCTACCACACCTCCTTATCACCGCCTCATACGTTCAAAAACGTTTAGAAGGATACTTACCGGCCAATCCCGGTGTCAAAGGCAGCCAATCACATAGTAACAAGATGCTACTCAAGGCCGTCTCCAATAGTGCAGGTTCCAGTCCCAATGTGTCAACGCTTGCCCCGCCACCTGGAGGACCCAAAATTCTACGTCCAAATGAGGGCTTGATATGGGGAAACATGGCCGTCACCGCAGATCACGTCGAAGACATGGTAGCTTCTCTCTGTGCGCAAGGGCTGCTTCACGGGTATATTGCGCATTCCCAAGGTCGGTTCGCTATTACGGGCACAAAGCAGAAAGGGAGCGCTGTAGCTGCGGGCTGGCCTTCTGTTTCTGAAGTACTTGCCCAGAAGGACGATGACATCCCTGGTTGGGTTAGAGACCAGTGAAACAAGACCAATCTGCACCCCATCGTGTTTCTCGTTTCACATCTATAGGTCCCGTGGTTTATATATATTGTATAAGAGGGCCATCGGTCGAGGCGGGTTTTGACGATGTATACGAACTAAATGATACCCGATATTACTGAACCTGTCCTGTCCGTATTTGGGTCAAGAATTTGGTGGAGGGCATTAGTAATTGAGCACATCGAGTAATAACACAGATATGGAATGTCCACCTCGGTCAAAACGTCATTCAGAGAGAAGAGGATTGTGTTCTAGAAAATCTGTAACTGCGTTGGGTATTCGCACTCGAAATTACACACTCCATTTGAATTAGGTGAACATACTTCAGAGTATTGTCAGTACTATCTAAAGGAGTTGAAATGCTACCCTGCCCATCTCACGCTGTTCTCGAGTTTCTCCACCAACCACTCACGATCTGGCAAAAGTGATCTGCAGAAGCGAAAGGCAATTCTGCTGCTGTACGTAGACAACACACCTGAAGCCCCCCAGATTCCCACAATGCCTAGAGGTTAGTGCCGCCTCGCCTCCGCGGGGGATCTGGGAAGTGAACACACTTCACCGGGACAATGGATGTGAGAGGATCGTGCTCCTTGAGTGGATTCGATAAATGATGGCTTTTACCCGGTCTTGTACAGAAGCTTGAGACTCGGTGTCGTGCGTTCGAAAATCGTAGGGGATCATTGAATGCTCTAGTAACGAGTCGGCGATTGATCATCTCGAGAACATAAAGACAATTATATACTCCTGTTCTATTTCTTCTATCCTGCCTTTCAAAACTAGCAGACATGAAATTCATCGCCTCACTCCTCGGCAGCGCATCGCTCGTGCTCGCCGCCAGCCGGACGTCCCCGCCACCGGGTTGTCTGCACGTAGCGAAGAGCGGCGGGGCGTATTCGACGGTGCAGTCGGCCATCAACTCGCTGTCGACGACGAGCAGGACGGCGCAGTGCGTCTTCATCGACCAGGGCACCTACACTGAGCAAGTGTATATCCCCTCGCGCTCCGCTGCGCTCACCGTCTACGGCTACTCTGCCGACACCACCTCGTACGCGAACAACAAGGCTACTATCACGTATAATCTGAGCGCTGCCTCTGCCGGGAACAATGATGCGTCTGCCACGTTGAGGGTCCATGCTGCTAATGTTAAGGTCTATGTAAGTAATGCCTTGATATATATTCATATTTCTCTCCTGTCTGGGTAGAAGCCATATACTCCTGCATGCGCAATATCATCCTATACTCCGCTTATGAAAGCGATCTGCTAACATCGATATGTTTTCAAGAACGTTAACGTCGTCAACTCCTGTAGGTTCCTACGTATAACACCTTAATCGCAATCAGCATTCTTGTTAGGCTAGAATGGGCCAGAAGAGGATAAAGTGACAAAGAAGCTTGCTAACGACATTGCGAGCGTGTAGATGGCAAAGGCAGCCAGGCCCTCGCGCTCAGCGCACAGGCGAGCAGTGGGTACTACGGCTGCCAGTTCTACGGGTTCCAGGACACGGTCCTGGCAAACGAGGGCCAGCAGTATTACAGCCAGTGCCTGGTCACGGGCGCCACCGATTTCATCTTCGGCCAGCGGGCGCGCGCGTGGTTCGAAGGGTGCGATATCCGGGTTCGCAATGGCGGATACTACATCACAGGTTCGTAAATCCACCCATCCTCGGTATCCGTAGCAGCAGAGATGGATGTAACACTCGCTCTGGGTATACAAGCAAAGCTGACCGCGAATAACCCCAGCCAATGGCCGTGATTCCTCGAGCAATCCCTCGTACTACCTGTTCAACAACTGCGACGTCGCCGCCGGCGCCGGCGAGTCCGTCTCCAGCGGCTCGTACTACCTTGGTCGTCCGTGGCGGAAATACGCTCGCGTCGTGTTCCAGAACACAGCGCTGAGCTCAGGTGAGTACCTACCTACCTACTTACCTATCTATCTGTCCACATACGTAGCCGCCTGATCCACCTGAGACGACATGCTAACCGCATCAAAGTCATCAATTCAGCCGGCTGGTCGAAGTGGAACGGCGACAACGACGTCGGCAACATCTACTACGCCGAGTACGCCAACACGGGTTCGGGCGCCAGCGGCTCGCGCGTCTCGTGGGCGACGACGCTGCGCTCGGCCGTGAGCGAGAGCACGGTGCTCGGGAGCGACTATGTGAGCGGTGCTTGGTATGATGCTAGTTATCCGAGCTAGAGCGCACGACGGCATTCCGGTCGCACAGGTGTCGCTTTGCAGTTTGTCTGTCTGTGTGTGTGTCCTAGCTGAGCAAAAGGGCCTGTGCGTTGGCAGCCATCTAAGCTAGGGAGTTCTTTGAAGCAACTGACGCCGGAAACCTAATGCCATGTATACAGCCAATTTAAGGAATTTTATAATCTTTCTTTATTGGCAGTTTCGGTTTCGATAGATTGACATTTGTAGGCCGTCGTTCTCAAGCTATATCTAGTGTGATGGGGCTAAGAATCGAGCCGAATTAAGCCAGCGGCCACAGTATCATACATAGTACACATCCTCGCTGGAGACGTCACGGAAAGCGATGGCGTTTTTCTCTCCTCCCTTTTTGCGCCTTTCCAGGAAACCATCTCAAAGCGACACCAGAGCTGAGGCTGTTCTAAGTATCACGGCGTAGACTATATATATCCCTTGGGACGACAAAGCTGAAACAGCATTATTGGCTCAGGTCTCTAGAATACCCATACCATGTGCTGCGCCGTCTTCGTGGCTTTGTTTTAGGCTAAAGTGGCTGGCTCCCTTGATGAGGTCAAGTTGACTATCTTCTAGAGTATTTTTCATTTTTCATTTTGTATTTTTTTTTCATTTTCTTTTTTTTCGTATCGTATCTCACCGCCAATTCAAGTCTAATAAGATGCTTTCTATCTGAAGTCTTATACCTTGACCAAAACATCAATATACTATGTAAGATGTGCCTATCAGTATGCAGTGTAGTGTACTAAGTTTGCGGCCCCTAATGCGAGTTGGAAATTGGTTTCCGTCACAGTGCACCTGGAATCCTACGGTTCACGACAACGTGGACAGAACTTGCGCTGGTCTGATTGGTCTCTTGTCGTTGTCGTGTGTCGTTACAATATTGGTTGAGTTATTACCAACTTGGAGCTTACAGTATCTGAACAGTCAGTAGTACACGGTTCCCCCGCTAACACGGGCCTTTTCCCCCTCCTCAGATTAATAGCTGGCGGTCTGGTTTGCGAAAATCGTACCATGTAAGCAGACGAAGAGCATTACCTGACTGGTAATATTCCTTCATCGTTACAATATACCGGTAGAGTCTCTATAACTCCCATCAATTTGTATGTGTAGTAATCACCGTAGTGTATTGTGACTGGCATGGCATGGCCGTGAATAAATCTACCGAGAATACGATGTACATAACATACTAGGATTTCTTATGTGTATTAATATAGGTACCGGTATTACCTATCAGGTACACACATTCACGACCTTCTTGTACCTGCAGTAGTGCCGTAATTAGATCGGCCACTTGCATAAGGGGCTGATCAAGTTTTCTCCCACCCCTGTTCAGAAGCCCTGTTCTAGCGCGTTGCCCAAACCGAATCGCGCAGATTGGAGAGGGCCAGTAACAGAGCAAAGAGAGCTCCTGAACTACACGTGTGCTTCTGGTTTTAGGCGCTGGGATGTATGACCAGTGGTCATCACCAGATGTGCTAATTACACGTAAGGGCAGAGTGAGGGTGGAGGAGTAAGGGTTAAGGGTGAATGGTTAAAGGCAAGGAGATACCTAGCATGTTCGTCTCGGTTGCCATCGTCTATCGTCTATTGGTGTCATTGGCCCACTGACGATCCCAGGTGTACGAGCCTCTTCAGCCAATCATCGCGTCTCGTCCATCACATTTCCGTTTTCGAACACTGGCTCATCTCATTCCAGAGATTCCACCGCCCAACGCACCGCACCCAGACATTGCGGACGGGCTCAGGAGTCATGGCGCGCAGTCTAACCCTGTTCTGCCCTGGCCAGCAAAGGCCAGCACAGGCCATCCATCCACCAACGGTTCAGAAAACAGCTTATGACCCGATGGCATGCGGGTCTTCCCCTAGGCTAGATCAAGACTCTGGTCTGCTCTGGTCTTGCCCTAAGCCCTCTTCGTCTGGGAATGGCACGCTGGCCGACCAGGATTGGTGTGGTCCAGGTGGCCTGGACCGATCAGCTTGTTGGTTAGGTTCCCTGTTTCGTCGTTAACAGACCTGCTCTACCGCAACCAGTCAGCACCATAATGACTTCGTTGCCCTAGTCTGCCCTCCCTTCGAATCTCTCCTTCCACTCACTCTCTTCGCTCGTTACGCTGGAGTCGTGTCGTCGTGGGTTGCGTTCATTTCTATCACACTCGTTTACCATTAACACAATCGTTACACTCTGGGAGATATTCTCCCATTACACTCGTTCCGTACAGAAATCGCGCGTACCCCAAAGCTGTAGGAGTAACAGGAGCTACATTAGTGTAAACTCTCCTTGTTCGTCACGACGTCGATCTACAGCCCGACCGCTGATCACTTAACGTCCTAGTACGAGAAGGAATTAAACTCTGGTATCGGCTCGACGACATTCTGACGCGAAAATGAAAACAACAACGTTGAAAGCCGCCGTAGGGTCGGCTATGCTGCTCTTGGCGACTCAGCCGGAATGTGTTAGCGCACAACATCATCACCAGCATCAACACCGAGATCTTCACCATCAACATCACCACCACGCTAGCAAGAGAGATCAGTTTGCTGCGAGCAATGCTACTTCCAATCCTCGGTATGAGTCTCGCCGGCCGGAGAAGCTTCAAGCTCGCGGAGGTGCAAAGTGCGAATTTCCGACATCAAAGGGGCTTTTTGCCGTCACCCCAGATGCTATGAACGGAGGCTGGGCGTTGGCACCCGATCAGGAATGTGTTGATGGCACTTGGTGTCCTATTGCTTGCCCTCCCGGACAAGTGATGGCTCAGTGGAAACCTGGCACGCATTATACCTACCCTGATTCCACTGTTAGTACACTCCTCCGCTGCCTGTGTACACGAATCAACTACTAACAGTTTTCTAGTGCGGAGGTATCTACTGCAACGGTGGTGAGATTGAAGTGCCTTTTGAGGATAAGCCGTGGTGTGTAGATGGCACTGGTACTGTCGAGGCCGTCAATAAAGCTGGTAGCGTCGTTTCGTTCTGTCAGACGGTACTGCCCGGTTACGAAGACATGATCATTCCCACCGATGTCCATGATAGTGCCACCTTGGCCGTTCCGGATCCCTCGTACTGGGATTCAACAGCATCCCAGTAAGTTTACTCAACAGACCTATTGTAGCCAGCGTCTAACTGTAGCAGCTTTTATATCAATGCGCCTGGTGTGAGCTCTGATGAGGGATGTCACTGGGGAGACGAGTCAAAGCCCATAGGCAATTGGGCTCCGTACGTCGCCGGTGCCAATACCGATGGCAGCGGCAACACATTTGTTAAGCTTGGGTTGAACCCTGTGTGGCAGGACAGTGCCCTATTTAGCACGAAGCCCACATTTGGCCTCAAGATCGAGTGTGATGGAAACTGTAACGGTCTACCCTGCGAGATGGATGGTAACGGCATAGTCAGCAACAACAAGGCTACTGGTGCTGGCGGCTCTGACTTCTGTGTCGTTACCGTTTCTAAAGGCGGCAAGGCAAGCATTATTGTTTACAATCTAGACGGGTCCAGCGGTGATGGTGGTGATGGTGGAGATAGCGGTGATGATGAGACCACATCGAGCCCTGAACCAACACCCACCTCTACCTCAACTCCTACGCCAACTCCAACCCCTACATCTACATCGACTGAGGAGCCTACCACGACAGAAACCCCTACTACATCCAGTGTTCCAACAACGACAGAAACGCCGACGTCTACGTCCACCCCTACCCCTACCCCTACAACGTCATCTTCGTCGGAGGTGCCAACAACGTCATCTAGTACCAGCATCAAGCTAACTACATACTCGGCGGTCCCAAGCTCAAGCAGCTCTGTCGAGTTTAAGGGTGCTGTGTATCATCAAAACGGGACTAGTACTGAAGCTATTTCCTCCAAGAAGCCGACGGGAACTTCGGTTTTCTCTGCGGACAGCACCAGTGAAGTTCAGATTGAGAGCCAAGGCGGAAGTGAGAATGGGGCCGAGAGCGAGTCTTCTCCCACTGAGACGAGCAAGAGTGAGAACGCCGGTCGGCGCCAGGACGGTGCTGCCGTGGGTCTTATTGTCGCATGCGTGGCTGCAATCTATCTTCTCTAAGATGAAGGTTGGCATAACCCCCGATTTTGGCCGTTAAAATTTTTTTTCTCGCACTCTTTGCGGCGCGAAGACATTTATAATCCGCAAATGGCGTCATCTTTGACCCGATTTACTTCAGTATATACCGCAGTACGGTCCGGATCCCAACGTGATCACGATCGAGTCCCTGCATATAACGAACGACTTAGTTGATATTGTTTATTGTCTATTCTACACACTCTCGCTCGGCAGCTCAGGGTTGCCCGGTATGAGTTATTATTTGTGGAAGCGAGGTGTATAAGTTGATTCTGGCGAATTTTGGAATATTATACCCATTCTGCATGCTACGTTATATATATATTTTTGGATCAACCTCTTACCCGAATAGTTGTACCTGGTGCAGTTGGTCAGGGAAGAGGGGGGGAGGCAAAAGCTATTGATACGCGGAACATGATGAAAGATGAAACAAATGACGCTATCGAGAAACTTGCCTTGTTGTGTGTTTTTGAAGTCCATGGTGACTCTTGAGAAGGCAGAAGGGTGTTTAGGAGAGACATACATATTATTGGTATATATCACGCTTCATTATTTCTTTATTTTTAGAAATAGAGCCAATCCCACATGGCAATACCTTCTTGAATAAGCATCGACTGCTTCTGGGCTAAATCCACGAATAGAAAGGGCGTATCCATGTGCTCCCCCATGTGCCGTGATATTACAAGTTGCATCAACGGGAGTTCTGAATTAAGTGAGGTTAAGACAATAAGCAAACGTGCTGCAGCTGGTCACGTATCGAAACAACATCCAACCAGCGATTTCAATAACACCAGATATATCTCGCCCCATGGAAGAGCATCTCAACTACCCAGATATTCACTACAATCATTTAATGCCTAATACGACGCGCCCTTTATACATGCAGAATTGATGATTTACTATATGTGACGGAGCAGCACGGCGCTTTTACTAGCGGCGTAGCGCTTTCGCCAATGGCGCAGCACTCCTAGCCAGTGGCGCAGTGCGCCCCTGACGAGGGCGTACTACGCCCCGGCAGAAGCGCACCTATAAGGGCGCTTTTGGCAGGGGCGTTACGTTCCGAGGATTAGCCGGAACGCCTATATAGTTAGAATTTTCCACGCACTTTATTACAGAATTAATAATAAAATAACGCTTTTAATTTAACTTTAAAAACGTTGCTTAAAAATGCTAGTTTAATTTTATTAATTATAAATATCCATTAAAGTTATAAGCCCGGTTTATTTATAAATTAGGTTTTTAATTAAGATTAATATTCTTTTATTATTAATTATATAAAGTATATTTCTTTTTTTTACCTTTTAATTATTTAATATTTATAAGTATACTTTATAAATATATAATATTTAAACTAAATTTAATAAAGTTTATTATTTTAAATAATATTATATTATATTTAATTAAAAATTAAGTTAATTAGTTTACCTATTTTTAAATATATATAAAAGTATATAATATTTAAAAAATAATAAACTTAAATCCTTTATAAATATTTAAAAAGGTTAATACTTTTTTAAGCCTTTAAATATTTTTAACTTTTATAAAGGAATTTATAAAGGAAAATATTATAACCTAAAGAAAAGTAACTTATATTAAGGCTATAATTAAATAGGAATTAAAGTATAACAATTTTAATAAATTAATATTAATTCTAAATAAAAATATTAATAATAAAAAGTTTAAGAAATAATATAATAATATTATAATAATATAATTATTAAGGATAGTTTAATAAAATATTTTTATAATTAAATATAATATACTTTTTAATTAAATTAATTATATAATTAATAAAAACTGTTTTAAAATTATTTATATAATAATTATTAATAATAATAAGCTATAAATTTAAAACCTTATTAAAGCGTTTTAAAATATTATTATTCTATTAAAGTTTAATATTTTAATAATAGTTTAATAGGATTATTATATTATATTTAAAAGGGTAAACATTAGGAATATTAATATAATAAAATAATATTAAAAATAAAATTTAATATATTAATATATTAAAGTAAAAGATATTTTAAACATTAAAGGAATTTTAATAATAAAGAACTTTTTAAAAATGCTTTTATAATATATAATACCTTTATAAATAAATATATAATTAATAAAAGTTATTAAAAATAAAATGCTAAAAAGATTAATTATAATATTAAATAATTTTAATAAAGTATTTAGGGGCCTTATTAATAAAAATAATATATAAAGGTATAAAGGTATAATAATCTTTATAATGCTTAATATAACCCCCTTAAATAATAATTTAAATAATAATACCTTTTAAAAGTTTTTAAAAGTATATAAAAAAAGGAAGGAATATTTATACCTATATATATTAAACTTTAAAAAAATATATTTATAAAAACTATAAAAGTATAAAAAATTATAATTTATAATTATTAAAAAAAGTAACCTATATTTAATAAAACTATTAAATAAATAAACTATTAAAGATATTAAAATATATTATAAATATATTTATTAAAATAATTTATATAAAACTATTTCTATTAATAAATAAAAGGTTATTTATAAAGGAACCCTATTTAATTAAAAATTAAATAGGAAAAAGAAGTTTTTTAATAAATAAGTTATATATATTATAATTAGCTTAACGTTCCTATTATTAAAGGTATACCTAATAAGATTTAACTTAAAAGAAGAGGAATTATACTTTTATTATAAATAATACTTTAACTTTATATAATTTTAATAGCCCATTATTAAGAAGTATTTAAAATATTAGGGTATATTTATTTAATATTAATAAAATTAAAAAAGTATTTATTATTAATATAAATAAAGGTAATATAGTTTTAAAAAGTTCTTAAAGCATTAAAGCATCCTTATATAATATAGCTTTAAGTAAATAATAGTAATAATCTATATATTAATATATCCTATTTCTTTAAGCTATAGTAGTAGGAGCGTAGTACTTTATAAATTATACTTTATATTCTTATATTAAGTTATTAATGAAGATTGCTTTATAGGAATAGTTATTAACCTATTTTACCTTTTAAATAAATCTAATTTAAAAGTATATTTAACCTTTAATTAAATATTATATATATTATTAAATAGTATATTTATTAATAATTATAGCGCATTATATTTAATAAATTAAAAAAAATTATTGGAATTAAATACTTTTATTTTAATTAAGGATAGAAAGGTAATAAATATAAAAATAATATAATTCCTAATTTTTAATATAGGGAAAAGGATTATTAAAAATGCATTTAATAATAAATATAGGTTATGTTTTATAGATTTAATATTTATTAAGGTAGCGCTTATTAAGGGATTTTATATTAATATTATTTTTAAAGTATATTTATAAAATAGTGGAATTTGGTATTATAGTTTAAACTATATATTATATTTTAAAAAAATTAAGAATAATATCCTTATAATAGAACTAATTAAATAGTATAACCTAATATTCCTTAAATATAAACCTATCTTTATTTATTTAAATAAGTCCTTATAATATTAATAATGGATTTCCTTATAGAAATTCCAATAAGTATAGTAGGATTAATTATAAATATTTATAAAGCTAGGAAATGAAAGCATTTATAAAAACTATTAAGTAATCCTTTAAAATTATAAAAGGATATAGAAATATTATAGCATTTTAAATTAAAATATTTAGGATTATATATATTTTAAACATTTATATATAGGGTGCAAAATGTAAAAATACTAAATATACCTAGATTTAAGTGTAAAAACTATATAGTAATATATATTTATTAAATACTTTTAAAAAGGATATTAGAAAGGTATTCTATAAAATTATTTTAAAAAGTTAATTAGGATTTATTTAATTATTTAAAAGGTTATAATAATATAAACTGGTTATTTATACTTAAAGATAAATTTAGCAGCTATATTTAGGTATACCTATTTATAAATAAATTATTGGATAAAGTTTTTAATAAATTATATAGGTTTAAATATTAAGTAATATATTATTTCTAACTCTTTATTTATAAGTTTTAAAGTAATAATAAGAAAGTAACAATTATAATAAAGGGTAAAATGCATTATAAGATTTGGGTAAAAAATGAAGGAATTAACGCTAAATTCTTTTTACCTTATTAAAAGGAAGGTTCCGGGGGAGTTAAAAGAGTAAAAAAAGAAATAATTAAAAAGGTGTTAAAAATATTATTCAAAATAGCGTTTTTAAAGAAGTTATAGCCTAAGGCAGCTTAAACGGTAGCCTGGCTATATAATATAAGCCCTTTAAAGGTATATAATTTATATATACCTTATAAGGTATTAAAATACTGGTTTATTTAATATTTTTAATAATATATATTTAAAAAAATAAAGGAGCTAATAAGTAATTTAAGGCTTAACTAAAGTAGCATTTATATATATAAATATAAAGTATACCTATTAAAAAAGGATTATAATATAAATAAATATAAATATAATTATAAAGTTAAACCTTAAATATATATTAAGTACCTAATAAGATATAAGTTAATTAAGGTATATTAAATATAAATATTTTAACTAAAGGAGGTTATTATTATTAAAGATATAGAATTTAACAAAAAGTTTTATTATAATAAGGAATAGGAATATTTAGCAATAAAGGTTATTAAAGTATATATAAAGCTTTTATAAATTATAAAAAAGGTTAAAAACTTTAATAGTGTTAAGGATATCTAGTTAAAAATAAGGGATATAATATTTAAGTTAAATATAAATACTTCTATTAATAATAGGGGGAAGATATTATATAACTTCGTTAAGCCCTTTATTACCCTTTTAAAGGAGTAAGAGTTAGGGGTAGGTATATTTAAGGATTAAAAAAAAGGATCCCTTAAGGGTTTATAATATAGACTTATAACTCTTTAAAAAATGCCTAAGTTAAATAAGCATTATTTTATAATAAAAGGTAACTTTAGCAATATAAATTAAATAAAAGATAATATACCTTAGGGAGCTATTATATTAAACAT